CCGACGGGCTCTGTCGGCACCCGGGGGCTTTGCCGTCTCAGCAGGGCCGAGGCTTGCCTTCCAAGTGCTCCCGGGGAGTTTACGTGCGTTTACGTGCCGTTACACAGCACCGCACCCTCGGAACTTACACAACCTGATTGGCCGGGAAAAAACCAGAATGGTGAACCTCAGACACGCGGGCAAAGAACCGGCCCCTCTCAGCCCTGGGACTCGCTGACCCTCTGTCTTCATTTTCTTGGTCTTCAGTGAGGCCACAGGCAGAGAGAAAAGGAGCAAAATGCAACCTTCAGATTAAGCAAAACAAAAACCAATAAGCAAGGTTTTCAACCAGGCAGTCGGGCAACTGGACTCATTATTTCAACATCAAAATACAGCGGATGGACTTGCTCCCCTGGCTCAGCTTAATACACAGCGGCCTAATGCTACAAACCAACGCACAGGGCTAAGAGCTGTCTGAGGGGTGCAGACAGGTGCAGGACGGAAGTGGCGGCGGCAGTGACGTGGCCTGGGGCGCACCCTTGGCTGCGCCCGGGACTGTCCTTCAGAACCAGTACTCGGAGACGAAGATGTGGACGTTGACGATGTTCCGGTGGGAGACCACACCCCCAACCACATAGTTCATCTCCAGCTTCAGCACGGCGTGGAACGGGCCCACGATGGGCCGCACCTGGCGCACGACACCTGGGGGGAGACAGAAGGCGGGCGGGGGTTAGCGGGGCCGTCACAGCGCAGAGACCGGGGAGTGATTTTCCTCAAGGAGTCTCGGGGTCAGGTGGGGCCTCGGCCGTCACGGAGTCCCACCCCGCGCCAGACATTCAGGTCCCCAGCGGGGCGGCCACCCGAGGCTCTGCTTCCCTCTCCAGGGACCGGCGACAGTGAATTCACTCCTCCTGGATACAGCCTGTCCATTATGCTCAGCTCAGGCTGCAAGCTCTGAGTGTGGGCGTCAGACAAAGCCGGCCCTGGGACCAAGGCCAGTCCCTGCCCCTGGACCTGCTCGCGGAGCCACAGAGATCACCAGCAGAACCCTGGTCTCAAGGCTGGCGGAGGGCCCAGGAATAAAACCAGGAAAGCGCCTTGGGCTGGTCCAGGTCTGCGCGCTGTGCGACAGGTGGGAGAGCGCAGGCGTGGGAGGCTTCTTGGAGGAGGCGCCCTTCTTGTGGAGGAAGTCCTACCAGCCAAGCCCGCACCTGGGGCAGAGAAGGCACAGACTGGCGGCGTCCGGCACTCGTGGATACACGGTCACCAAGGTCCCTTCTCCACGCCGCATGCGGACGTGGGGCCTTGCCCAGTCCCGTGGATGCAGGGCTACACCCGTCACTGCTTAACAACTGCCCCTCTGATGGGACCACGCGTGGTTCCTGCCGCGATTTCAAGGTGCTGATGTGACCCCAGAGAGAGTGGCTGTGGGGAGAGGCGGGTCCGGACGCTCTGCGGAAAGCCAGCGCCGAGTTTGCGGCTTCCCACGCACACAGCGAGGGGCAGCCCCTGGCTGTTTCTGGCAACAGCACAGCCACAGGCTTGGGAGGCCCCAGTGCCCGGCACATGGCAGAGACTTGGGGACGACGCACAGGTCTGGAAGGCCTTCCTTTCTGCCGTGGCGGCTGGTTTGGGGCAGGAAGCTCAAGTTCACGTTTGGGAAGAGAACTGGGGCATGACGCGCTCCCATTCGCTCCCTGGGCTTACAGTTCGAAAGTGAAATGCCCACCACGGGGTGGGGGAGTGGAATTCCAGGCTATTCCCTGAGCAAACACAGGCTGCAGCCCTGGGGGAGGGACGTGCAGGCCCCTGCAGGCTGTCAGCACCCGCTCTCCGCCCGCCCGCCCGCGATGACATCACGGCTTTGTCTCGCTGGATGCCCCCGGATGACTTCAGCTCCCGGCAAGACAAGGGCTTGTCACCGGCCGAGTCTGCCAGCGGCCTGATGGCCTGGTCACTGCTGCCCGCCCCTCCCCGGGCTGGGTCTGCCTGCTGGGCTCAGGGTGGGCTCACACTTGTCCCCTTTCCCCTGTCCAGGGGCCTGAGCTGTCACTGGGGCCGCCCACCCTGGGGGCAGAGCAGGCGCCACGGCTCTCCCCCTGCTGCTCTGAGGGTTGAGGTCGAAGGGGACAGCAGAGAAGCTGGGGGACACTTGGCCTCCTGCAGGATGGCCAGGCAGTGGAGGTGGGGTGGGGGACACCTCCCCCAGTCAGGGCGTAGTTGTATTTCTGTTATTACAGTCTCTACAGGGGGCTGGCGCCGTGATACAGTGGGTTAAAGCCCCAGCCTGCAGTGTTGGCATCCCATGTCGGTGCCGGTTCAAATCCTGGCTGCGCCACTTCTGATCCAGCTCCCTGCTAATGCGCCTGGGAAAGCAGGGGAAGATGGCCCAGCTGCTTGGGCCCTGCACCCACATGAGAGACCTGGAGGAAGCTCCTGGCTCCTGGTCAGCTCAGCTCTGACCATGGCAGCCATCTGGGGAGTGAACCAGTGCATGGAAGACCTCTCTCCCTCTGCAACTCTTTCAAATAAATAAAATAAATCTTAAAACAAATTAAAAGAAAACCTCAGTGCTCGGGCATCAAGGTCACAATGCCTGTGAAGTTTAAAACAAAATTCTCTACAGAATACAACAGGTACCATGCAAATATGTAATTATCATAAGTGTATGTATTGTATAATACAAAATATATTGTTCACATGTATAATTTATATGTAAATCCAATTATGTGAGTATACAATCAATTTATAAAATTTTTCAAATATTTATTTACTTTGAAAGTCAGAATTACGGCCGGCGCCGCGGCTCACTAGGCTAATCCTCCACCTAGCGGCGCCGGCACACCAGGTTCTAGTCCCGGTCGGGGTGCCGGATTCTGTCCCGGTTGCCCCTCTTCCAGGCCAGCTCTCTGCTGTGGCCAGGGAGTGTAGTGGAGGATGGCCCAAGTGCTTGGGCCCTGCACCCCATGGGAGACCAGGAAAAGCACCTGGCTCCTGGCTCCTGCCATTGGATCAGCGCGGTGCACCGGCCGCAGCGCGCCGGCCGCGGCGGCCATTGGAGGGTGAACCAACGGCAAAGGAAGACCTTTCTCTCTCTCTCTCTCTCTCACTGTCCACTCTGCCTGTCAAAAAAAAAAAAGAATTACAGAGAGAGAGAGAGAGAGAGAGAGAGAGAGAGAGAGATCTTCCATCCACTGGTTCACTCCCCAGATGGCCACAATGGCCAGAGCTGAGCCAGGGCAAAGCCAGGAGCCAGGAGCTTCTTCCAGGTCTCCTATGTGGGTGCAGGGGCCCAAGCACCTAGGCCATCCTCCACTACTTTCCCAGGTGTATTAGCAGGGAGCTGTATCAAAAGTGGAGCAGCTGGCACTTGAACCAGCACCCACATGGGCTGCCAGCATTGCAGGCCATGGCTTAACCCACTATGCCACAACACAGGCCCCTTTAAAAATATTTTTAATACTTAAAGAATATTGTATTAAAACATCTGAATTAAATTATATGTTCAAACTGTAATTGCTTAGAAAATATATCAGTTTTTCATATTTACTGTAGAATTTACATATGTAAAATATAAATATTATAAGATATTATATAATTATCATATTAGTATATTTTTTACAAACCTCTGTTCTTATCGACACTGCAGCCCTGGTTCAGACCCTCCAAGAGGGTGGATATGTGAGAGGTGCCGGGCACCAGGCTGAATACGGAGGTAGAGAAGCCCTCAGTGTCTCCTCGGGGGTCGGCCCAGGACAGGAGAGGAAACAGGAAGTGCAGATGCTGCGGGCTCCGTGTAGGGACAGACACCTGCCCCGGGCACCGTGGGTGCTCCACGGGAGAGGCCCGCCGCCCCCGGCGCTGTGTCTGACTGGCCTGGGTCAGTACTAGGACCCGGATGAATGACTTAACCCTCCTGAGTCTCCATTCCCCACTCTCTGAACAGGGACAGACATGAGCAACCTTTGGGCAATGTCTGTCATAGCCTAAGACACGGGTGGTGCCTGGTTCAAGCCCTGGGTCCGCTCTGAATCCCAGCTTCCTGCTGATGGCCGGCCTGCCGACCACATGGGGGACCCGACTGAGTTCCCAGCTCCTGGCCTCAGCCTGGCCCAGCCCCAGCTATCGAGGGTTTGGGGTAGGGAATCAGCGTATGGAGCTCTCTCTGTTTCTCCACCTCATTCATAGATATGTAGATAGCAACTTTCCGGAAGTGGACGTTCAGCCTACCAGGCACCCCTGTCCCACATCAATGCTTCCACGACTCCGAATGCCACTCAGGCGTTGCTGGATCCTCGCACGACTGGAACACTGAGCAGGGGAGAAGGCCCTGAGCCTGCAGACAGGGATTCTACTTAATCCCTCCTACCAGGGCACCTCGCGAGAGCTGCCTCCTGTGAGCTAAGAGCAGAGCTCTGGGCTGCGGGCGGATGATTCAGACTGCAAACAGCCACGTGGCGAGGCACGGCGAGCCACGGATGGAAGCTAAGGACAGCAGGAGGGGAAAGGGCCCTGAGAAGGTGCGGGAGGCGCGAGGCTGTACGGCGACGTGGGTCACAAGCAGGGCTGGACGTCTCCAGGTCTGCACACATAACAAGGCGGGACAAAGAGGGGCGCTCAGGAAATGGTGCAGGTGCAGTACAGGTACGGGTGCAGGTACAGTACAGGTGCAGGTACAGTACAGGTGCAGTACAGGTGCAGTACAGGTGCAGGTACAGGTGCAGGTGCAGTACAGGTACAGGTGCAGTACAGGTGCAGGTACAGGTGCAGGTGCAGTACAGGTGCAGGTACAGTACAGGTACAGTACAGGTGTAGGTACAGTACAGGTACAGTACAGGTACAGGTGCAGTACAGGTACAGGTACAGTACAGGTGCAGTACAGGTACAGGTACAGGTACAGGTACAGGTGCAGTACAGGTACAGGTACAGTACAGGTGCAGGTGCAGTACAGGTGCAGTACAGGTGCAGGTGCAGTACAGGTACAGGTGCAGTACAGGTGCAGTACAGGTACAGGTACAGTACAGGTGCAGTACAGGTACAGGTACAGTACAGGTGCAGGTGCAGTACAGGTGCAGTACAGGTGCAGGTGCAGTACAGGCACAGGTGCAGTACAGGTGCAGTACAGGTACAGGTACAGGTACAGATACAGTACAGGTGCAGTACAGGTACAGTACAGGTGCAGGTACAGTACAGGTACAGGTACAGTACAGGTAAAGGTACAGTACAGGTGCAGGTACAGTACAGGTACAGTACAGGTGCAGTACAGGTACAGGTACAGGTGCAGTACAGGCACAGTACAGGTACGGTACAGTATAGCTACAGGTGCAGGTACAGGTACAGTACAGGTGCAGTACAGGTCCTCACAGCCATGCTCGAGGAACAGTCCTGCCCTCCTGCCCTCCTGCCCTCCTGCCCTCCTCCTCTCTTCCCCTCCTGCCTTCCTGCCCTCCTCCCCTCCTTCTCTCTTCCCCTCCTGCCCTCCTGCCCTCCTCCTCTCCTCCACTCCTCTCCTCGCCATCCCTGCCCTCTGACCTGAAGCGTGCCCCGCATCTCCAACCCCATCCACAGCCTCATCATCTGCAGCCCCTCTCCCAGCCACACCCCTCCAGTGGACCTGGCCACTGCTCCCCAGCTTAGCCACGCTTCCCTGGAGCTTGGTTTGGCGGGACGTGTTTCCTCCGTCCCCAGGCCAGATCAAGCGTGAGCTCCACCTCCTTGCCCTCACCCTCACTGAACCACAGCCAGGAGGGGCTTCACGAAAGAGCACCCAAGTGGTCTCGCTGGTCCCCAGGGCCTGGCCCATCATAGATGCCAAATAAATGCCTATAGAATCGAGTGGTTGATTTCTGATACCACCTATTTCTTCTGTTTCCTACCCACCCATCAAATATCCATCTATCCACCTATGCATACATCCACCCACCTACCCATCCACCTACGCATCCACCTAGCCACCCATCCACCCATGCACCCATCCACCTACCTAGCCACCATCCACCTATGCACCCATCCACCCATCTGCCCACCTACCACCCATCCACCTAGGCACCCATCCACCCATCTGCCCACCTAGCCACCCATCCACCTAGGCACCCATCCACCCATCTGCCCACCTAGCCACCCATCTACCTATGCACCCATCCACCCATGCACCCATCCACCCATCTGCCCACCTAGCCACCCATCCACCTAGGCACCCATCCACCCATCTGCCCACCTACCACCCATCCACCTAGGCACCCATCCACCCATCTGCCCACCTAGCCACCCATCCACCTATGCACCCATCCACCCATCTGCCCACCTAGCCACCCACCCACCTAGGCACCCATCCACCCATCTGCCCACCTAGCCACCCATCTACCTATGCACCCATCCACCCATGCACCCATCCACCCATCTGCCCACCTAGCCACCCATCCACCTAGGCACCCATCCACCCATCTGCCCACCTACCACCCATCCACCTAGGCACCCATCCACCCATCTGCCCACCTAGCCACCCATCCACCTAGGCACCCATCCACCCATCTGCCCACCTAGCCACCCATCCACCTAGGCACCCATCCACCCATCTGCCCACCTACCACCCATCCACCCATCTGCCCACCTAGCCACCCATCCACCTATGCATCCATCCACCCATCTACCCACCTAGCCATCCATCCACCTAGGCACCCATCCACCCATCTGCCCACCTAGCCACCCATCCACCCATCTGCCCACCTAGCCACCATCCACCTATGCACCCATCCACCCATCTGCCCACCTAGCCACCCATCCACCTAGGCACCCATTCACCCATCTGCCCACCTAGCCACCCATCCACCTATGCACCCATCCACCCATCTGCCCACCTAGCCACCCATCCACCTATGCACCCATCCACCCATCTGCCCACCTAGCCACCCATCCACCTAGGCACCCATCCACCCATCTGCCCACCTAGCCACCCATCCACCTAGGCACCCATCCACCCATCTGCCCACCTAGCCACCCATCCACCTAGGCACCCATCCACCCATCTGCCCACCTAGCCACCCATCCACCTATGCACCCATGCACCCGGAAGAAGCTACTCTGCACAGAGAACTTTGAGGAAGATTCGAACAAGGAACTGACACCTACATTGGACTTTGAAGGATAAAAGGAGCCAAGGAGGCAGGGAGGACGAGTGCAGAGCTTCACAGCGTGACGGGCCGGCCAGCTCTGGGGACAGCGTCAGCCTGGGAGGGGCAGGCGGAGGAAGCCGAGCAGGTGCACAGGGCTGCTCAGGCCCCGCCCCGCCACTCTCACCGAATCGGGGAGCTGAGCTGTCTCCGGCCTCCTCCCCTCCACTGCTTCCGGACCACGGCTCTTCCAGAGCCACTGACGCCTTCTCCTCTGTGGCCAACTGCCGGCCACACCTGATTCTGCCACACGTCTCTGCCATGGGCGACATGTCAGGCTTGGGCAACAGCTGGACTATTTAGGTCCTCGCAGGTCCCCCTGTGTCAGCTGTGACGCTGCCCGTGGCAGGAGCCGTCCGCCGCCAGCTGGGGCAGGGTCTGCACGGTCCCCAGTCCACGGTCTGGGCGGCTACAGCAGCTCAGCCAGGATGGCTGGGTGGGGTGGGGCAGAAGACGGCGGGACAGGGGAGAGGAGGAGGAGGAGGGAGAGTCAGTCCTGAGGAGCCACGCTGCAGGGAGGACGAGGCAGCGCTGGCCCGAGGCACGCGGAGCCACAGAAGCCCTGAGTGAGGGCGGTCAGTCATAGGCACAGCGGCTCCATCAGCAATGCAGCCGCCGGCAGAGCCGCCTTCCACCTCATCCGCTGGGCTGCTTCCCGCCCCGCGCTTTCCAGAAGCCCAAGGATTAAAGAAAAAGCCCCTCCTCGGCCTGGCTGCGCCTCCGAAGACGCGACCAGCCCTCTTTCCTGCTGAAAGCTGCAGGTCCTCTGACGCACTGTGACGTGCAGCTGCCAGGTGCGGCGGGGAGACCCTTGCCACCCCTGGGATCTGTGGCCCACAGTCTCCGCCCCTGAAGCCACGCCCCAGCCCCTGCCACTTGAGGGGCTGTCCGTCAATTTTGTGAAATAACAGAAACCAGCCAGGAACCTGTCTGCCCCAGTCTCACGTCTGACCCGTGACAGCACCTATGACGAGACCACAGTCACGGCCTCCAGCCACTGCCTGCGGCACGACGCGGCGCAGGTCACCATCCACTCCTGGGCCTGGGCCCCTTAGGGACGCAGCGCGCCGCAGCCAGCGGGGCTGGTGCAGCGCTGAACACACAGCGTGAGTTCTGTGTGAGTTCCCGCAGCAGCAGCAAGCAGGTGCTTGGAAAAGACAGCGTCTGAGTAGGAAGAGGCGGGAGAGACTTGGAAAGCCATGTGTCACCGTTACAGGAAAGGAGTGGGGGTGGGGTAAGGGAGGGAGGGAGGGAGGGAGGGAGGGAGAGAGAGAGAGAGAGAGAGATCTTCCATCTGCTGGTTCACTCCCAAATGGCCACAAAGCCAGGGCTGGGGCAGACAGAAGCCAGGACTCAGAAATGTCCCATATGGGTGCCGGTTCTAGTCCCGGTTGCTCCTCTTCCAGTCCAGCTCTCTGCTGTGGCCCGGGAGGGCAGTGGAGGACGGCCCAGGTCCTTGGGCCCCTGCACCCACGTGGGAGACCTGGAGGAAGCTCCTGGCTCCTGGCTTTGGATCGGCACAGGTCCAGCTGTTGTGGCCACTTGGGGAGTGACCCAGCGGAGGGAGGACCTTTCTCTCTGTCTCCGCCTCTCACTGTCTGTAACTCTGCCTCTCAAATAAATAAATAAAATCTTTTGAAAAGAAAACAGAAATGTCAGGCCCCGGGCAGCAGCCAGTGCCAGCCACGTTCCCAGGTCTCTGCCGCCCACCCGGGGGCTCAGATGAAGTTTCTGACTCCTGGTTTCAGCCTGGCCCAGCCGTGGCCATTGTGGGCGCTGGAGTGAACCACCTTTCTCCCTCTCTCTCTGTCTCTCCCCCTCTCCCTCTCCTGGTCCCCCTCTCTTTGAACCTCTTTCAAATAAATAAATAAACCATAAAAATAGCCAGAGCCAGTGCTCTCCTGGCCCGAGGCAGGCTGTGGGGTCACAGGCTCCGTGATATCGTGGTTCTCCCCACCACGACCCATGGCCAAGGCCCAGGCATCAACGTCCCTCTTGGCCACTCTCACAGCCCTGGTTCTCAGAACGTAGTAGGTCCTTGGCTACTCTGTGCCTAGGGCGTCAAGGCTTTCAACACAGCCCGGGGATCGGAGGCAAACTGATACACTTGCAAATCACGGCCCCCACACACAGGACACACAGGACACACAGCCAAAGACCAGAGGGAGCCAGACCAACAAGTGGGAGCTGTGTCTGGCCCGGTGGTCACCGCGTGCAGCTGCTCAGAGGACGCCGTGCGGTCTTGCCCATCGCACATCACGAGCACCTGGAACCGAGCCATCTCCAGTGCTGGAGACCCCAGCCCCCACCTCCTGCTGGTACTCACCCAGCCTCGTGCAGAGCGTGGGCTGGGCTGGGGAAGAGCCCCCCGCTGGGGAGGGGGAAGACCCCACCTGCTCCCGTGCCAGGCCACAGCGGTGAGTCACCCCTCTGTTTCTGGGGAGTGCAATAGGTGCAACAGACAGCAGCTGCCCCAGACGCTTCCAGGGGGTGGAGGGTCCCCAGCAGAACCGGGGGAGACACCCTGATAGCCCCGTGGCCCCGGCCTGGTGGCGGGGGCTGGCAGGGGAGGCCGTGGAGGTATCGCGCCAGCCTCAGAACCCATCATCCGGGTCTCCCACGTGGGCGCAGGGGCCCAGCGACTTGGGCATCTTCTACTGCTTTCCCAGGCCACAGCAGAGAGCTGGATTGGAAGTACAGCAGCCAGGACTTGAACCAGCGGCTATACGGGATGCTGGCGCCGCAGGCGGAGGCTTAGCCAACTACACCACAGCACCGGCCCCTCAGACCCCTTTTATGAAAACTTTGCCCCCAGGCCCCCAGCACTGGTGGACAGAGAGAAATAATTTATGAACGCGCCTGGCAGAGTCACAGGTTGTCTGTCAGAAGGTGCAAAATGCGGCAGCTGGAGGGCCACGGGGGGACCTCGCAGGCCGGGAGCAGCTGGGGAGACGGCGGGGGAGGGGGGACTCCAAAGGCAGCAGCCATGTGGGCGCCTGGTGGGCGGCAGGGCCACATGCGGGGGTCGCGTTTCCCAGCCAAGAGCTCAGTGCTAAGCGGAGCAAAGTCAAGGCCAATGCTCACAAGGCCAAAGCCTTCCACTTCTCAGGCCCTCAACCAGAGCCTTCTGATGGCCTTGGTCACCAGGTGTGCCGCCGCCAGGTGCCGGTCCACTGCCTGGTCCTCCCAGAAATGCCTGCTCCTCACGGCCCCAGGGCACCTGGCCCCTCCTCCTCTCCTGCCCAG